CCTTTGTCACCTTGAGGTTTGCCTCGTCCTTGACCGTATGATCCACAGTGTTCCCCAGGAACACTGAGAAGTGGTAACGTTTCAAGCCTTCCTCCTTGTAGGTCTGCTCGAGCGGGTTGGTTTCGGACCAGAGGTCGTCCGACTCCAACTTCAAGAGGGCCTTGTCGAGGAGCTTTTTCTGCGGGGGCTGCGAGATGTCCAGGTTCATGATCTTGGCGACATCGTACCTGATCGCAAGCAAACAGTACTGACACCGGACACAAAAGAAATATAAATGCAACCCAGCAGCAGTGTGCCGTAACTCTGTTTGCTCTGCGAAGAGTGGCTTGTCTGCTCGGAGTGCTGAACCGTCGCTTCGGCCCAGGTCTTCAAGCTCTTGTCGCCCTGCCACAAGGTGAGGAGCTCGCTCTTCCTGGGGTCGAAGAGCTTGCAGGCTTGGTACTCGTCCAAGAACTTCCTCTTGCGTTCAAGGTCTTTCTTCTGATCATCCGTCAAAGCGGCGTCTGGGTCGTTGAGCTTGCTGACCTGCTTTTTCAAAGACGTGACCATGTTACTCTGCTGCTTCTTCTTCTCTTGCTTCTCCTGCTCGGCCGGTGTTTGCTTAGTCGACAAGCGGCGGCCTGTCATGGCTACCGAGAGCGAAGGCTGCTGAAGCGGATTCGGATTTAGTACAGAGCCTGCAAGCAGCGGGGAAACGGCGTCCAAAAACCTAGATCGGAGACCGATCCCTGTGAGAGCAGTTCATTGCTCCCGGCTGTAGCATACATATCGAAGCACAAAATCAAAAGCAAAACTATCAATACGTGTCACTGAGAGCAACGTGCTCCCGAAATCAGAACCAATCCTACTAAAGCGTCTCAGGCCTGAGAGCAAAGTGCTCCCAATTTTTGCACAATCACCCCTGTGGTTCTTGGAACCAAGCAACCAAACAGGCCAGAGCGTCGTTTGCACAGGCCACCTCGATCCTGGCGTCACAGCAAAAGTCTTCGGGGTTCCTAGTTCAAGAGAAA